TACTGCCTGTAGATTTTTTTGCAAGTTCCACTACTCACTGTACTTTTTTTTTTTTTTTTTGCAAGTTCCATTACTCGCTGTATATTTTTTTTGCAAGTTCTACTACTTGCGGTACATTTTAATTATAAAAATGATAAAAATGCATCCATCATCCAAATGAACTGAACCAAACATATGATAGTCATATCAGGCGAATTAATGTTTTCATGTTTTGAATATGTTGCCATAAATGATAATATTTATGCAATAGCAAAGTAAGCACCTAAAGTGTAAACTTAACAATATGTTTGGTTCAGTTCATTTGGGTCATATCATTTTTATAATTAAAATGTACGGCAAGTAGTGGAACTTGCAAACAAAGTATACAGCGAGTAGTGGAACTTGCTAAAAAAAATGTACAGTGAGAAGTGAAACTTGTAAAAAAATGTACAGCGAGTAGTGGAACTTGCAAAAAATGTACAGTGAGTAGTGAAACTTGCAAAAAAATCTACAGCGAGTAGTAGAACTTGAAAAAAAAAAGGATAGTGGAACTTGTAAAAAAAATGTACAGCGAGTAGTGGAACTTGCACAAAAAAAAATGTTCAGCGAGTAGTGGAACTTTTAAAAAAATGTACAGGGAGTAGTTGAAATTTAAATTTTTAAAATAGATTGTTATTATTGTTATCAATGATTAATATATAATTTCATTAATGGAACTTAATGTCTTAATCATTAACTATAAGCCAAGACGCAAGCTAATTAAAATAATATTATAAAACATTTTTTGTTTTTTAAATATTTTTCAGGTCAGAGGGGAACCATCTGTAACTATGACATAATGTCGTGTGATGTATCTTGAAAAAATATATCTATATTAAAATTTATTATTTTATTCAATAGCATTTTAAACATTTTTTCAAAACTCATTAAAAAAAGAATATTTTATATTATCTTGCATATAATATTCAACACTTTCATTAAAAAAAAAACACATTTTTAAAAATATAGTTAGTCATTATTGCCGGTAAGAATGGTGGTTTTGTGCCCCCTCTTGCTCTTGGATGCGCCCGTAATCCATAAGTTTTTATAAATTTTTAGATATCTCTTGCATCTAATATTTGAAACCAAGATATAAACATTTGGATAAGAATTGATTAACATATAATAGTTTTAGTTAATAAAAACTTTATTTTGACCAGAGTTTCTTCAACAAATCCTAATATCAAAAAATATGTTTTTAAAATGTCATAACCTTTTGTGGAGTGGTTCGATTTTTATAATTTTTTCACTTTTGGAATATTGAAATGAAGTACTTTTTAATGATATATAATAACCTAGAATTTAATGAATTTAAAAATTTCATGTAGCATACCTATTTAAAACAATCAAACTATTTGTAAAATATTTCATAAAATAGAATAATACAATCTTATTAAAGAATATTAAATTTTTTCTAAATTAGTTTTTAAGATGGAGACAAATTAGAAATTAAAACCTACACTGTAAATCCAAAAGGTTCTTCGCGGTTCTTTGCCGGTTCTTTAAAGAACCTCAAGGTTCTTGAAAAAAATATAAGGTTCTTTAAAGAATCTACGGGTTCTTAATATTCTCTAACGGTTCTCTGAAGAACCGGCGGCTTATTTACAAAGCAATACAAAGTACCCACAAGGTTCTTCATATCGTTTTACGGAAAACTTCGAAGAACCTTAATTTAGGGTTCTTTAAATCTTTTGTAAAAGCCATTTTATTTTTCAAATCGGCCGTTATATAGGTAGACTACTATGAATTTATAAAGAATGGTATAATAACTATAACAAATGATTTTCATAACAGTATTTAATTTGTGCCTTAAACATTTGAGTTGTTTTTATTACAGTTGTTAACATCAACAGCGATTATAAAAGCAACGTGTTTTTTTTTTTTTTTTCGAGCAGTTTTTTTTAATCCTATATGCTTTTTTTATGCACATTATAAATAGATATATCATTGTACATTGTTTTGTTTAGATAAATATATCATTTGTTTATATTTAAAAAAATGGAAGATTATTTGGAGTGTAGAAGATGTTTGCGTATATTTAGAACTTAAAGGACTCCCAGAACTTAGACAAAAAGTAATTAGTATTGTATTGGTGTTAGCATTGTGGTTTATAATAATAATATTATCTTTATTTTTTAATTAAAAAAAAAATACATTTTCATTTTTGATTGACTGCTGATTGTTTGAATGTGAACGTAAATATTAATTTATCATTGGTACTAAAACATTTCTAAGTAATTATCTCTATGAGAACATGATTTTTTAGTTTTGACTTTAAAGAAGTTATATTGTCAGCAAGAGAAATTGAGGTATAATTCGAAATTAATTTGTTATATAAATAAGGGCCGCGGTAAGAAATAGAAAATTGAGAATTTTTTTGTCTTTTCCGAGGTACAATAAAGTTACCAGTTGATCTTGTGTTATATATGTTGACATTAGATTGAAAAAAATTTTCTGTAAATCGGTTTGGAACTAATCCTAATTTTTATTTTAGCATAAACAAAATATTAGCATAGATATTAATTTGGTAAATATTTAGCGCTTTCATTTCATTTAATAGGGGTTTAGCGTGGGTCAGTTTCTTCTTATGATGAATTATTCTGGAGGCATGTTTGTCCATGTCCAATGGAGGCAAAACCTGAAGCAAAAAAAATAAAAACACTTAAACTAAGTGTTATTATTTTTTTTTTGCTTCAGGTTTTTATAGTACCCAAAGAAATTTTTCTTTTTCTTATATAATTTTCAAAACCTCTTTACTATCCTTAACAGTGAACCTAAAGAACACCCTTTTGGAGTTTCTAGATCAATTCCGCTCATCGGCGTTAACATTAATTTAGTTTGATTCTTTTAAAAAAGTTCCTTAATTTACTATTGATCCTAGTTCTAATCGGTTCTGACGTATATTAACTATATATAGTTGTCAAAACACGATAATTCTCTCAATTTTCACAAAAAATTCCGACCAAGAATAAGCTTATAATTAAGAAAAATTGCTAATAAATGATCTTGTTAAATTATAATGTTCATTTAACATATTGTTAAACTATAATGTTCACTTCACCTAAAAAACGTATTTATTTAAAATCTTATTAAAATTTAACGAATGATTGTGATTTTAAAAAGATTTAAAAAAAAATAATAATAATGTTCGGCCTGGGTTTTTTCACTATAAACATTTATATTTTATGTTACCGCAAAATTTATTATTTTAATTATTTTCGCCTTTTCATAATTCACAGACCTGATGATTTTAAGTAAATATGTCGTAGTCAACAAAATATCATACAGACGCTATAAATTTTTAAATTGCCTTAACTACACCGAGTAGTAGTTACTAATGATATATGTGTCTTTTAATGTATTAGTTGTAAAATCTCTGTGTATATGTTTGTATTTATTTCTAAATCTTTAAATATCTAAATTTGCATTATAGTTATTGCAAAAAATCTTTGTGATTGCAAAAATAATTTGCCTTTTTATTTTATCTTTAGTTTATTTTATATTTTCTTATTTTATTACTTTTATTTATTGACAATATTTTATTATATTAAGAGGCTCTATGAAAAGATTGAGGTGATATTGCATCATCCATATATTATTTGAGTCCCTGTCTGTTTTTAAAATATTTTATATATTGATATTTACCATTTAAAACTCATCTTAAATTTATTTAACTGCAAAATTAAAAATGAAATGAAATTATAAATAACATCATAAATAGTCCATTCTTGAGAAGAAGAAAAGAGATATAGATAAAAGAGAAAGGTAATAGAGTGAAGTTGTGCCAAAAAAAGCACAAGAAAGAACAGTCTGTGGATTCAAACCTAATTTTTCAATAGATGAGTGAATTTTTACGAATGTAAATGCCCAGGCTAAGCATTTGACTAATGGAGTCTTTACGAATTAAAGGAAGATAACCATCAACACTAAGATCACAAGATGAGACAGCTGAACTCAAATTAGTCTCACTAAGAGCAAGTAGTTCTGATAAACTTTGCAAAAGATAAGACTGAACTGAAAAAAAAGTTACTTTGAAGACCACAAACACTAGTGAATGATAGATTTAGAGAACTTAATGATGAAAATGGTTGCTTGCGTTTTATAGAATTTGTTACTTAAACACAAGCAAAACCCATACATTCAGTCAAGAAAATCCAGCATTCAACTTGCTAAACTGGAGATAATGTATTATAAATATATCTACGTCTGATTAATAGATGAAGAAGTAGTCCGTCGCTGGTCAACAGATAGAATTTATTTACCCCTTAATTTTTTGCCTTGGTAAAATTTTATTTGGTAAAAAACTATTATATAATATGAATAAACTAAATACAATTTAAGAAAATGTAAAATAAGTATAAAACTAGCACATACATCTAACTCTATTCCAATTGCACAACATGATATAGCTTCTCAAAAATTATTGTCATTTATATGTGCTGACAATACAGTTTTGTTTCATAACCCCTCTTATTTGAAAATTTTCTTTGAAACACTCAACTGGAAAATAGTTTAACCAATGATTTAACGCAAATAAATTATCTTTGAGTAGTGAAAAAACAAGCTTTTCTCTAATAGCTAATCTCTTCTCTTAAGCTAATCTCTTCCATAAAATAAAACAACCAATTAATCTTCAGTTAAAGTTAAAAAAAAAGTTAATCAATAAAAATGAAATAAAGCAAGAACAACATATTAGGTTTAAGAGTTTTTCTCTTTATTGGTCTGATTAAAATCTGAAATATAATCTTTAATCAGGCGTCACATTTTTTCAATTATAAGCCAAGACATGTCATTATGACATCAATTTAAAATGACAGTTTAAATGATTTAAAAAGCATTTTATCTTTTAAAAGAAAAGTAAAATTGCATCTTCTCAATTCCTGACATTATATAACTGCTATAAATTATTTATTTACACTTTCAAATATCTTTTATATATTAACTAAAACATATTTAACTTGTTATAACGGTTTTTACTTTGTTTAACCAGCTCGATCAATTAACTTAATACCCAATTGAAATAGAATTATTTATTTAATATAACAGTATACGTTTATAAACTGTTATATACATTTTTTAATTATAATATTTTTTCATCATATATATCATATTTTGAAGTATAATGTTAATAAGAATTTAAAAATTTTCGTTTATATTAGTTGTTGTTATAAAGAAGCTGCAGAAGTTGATTGAGCATAGTTCATCATTTCAATATGTACTCTGCGCTTGCTGTTCAATTCAGGTTTAAAATAAATTACAATTATTTTTGGTGTAAACAATACTGTCATCAAAATTAAGTTTGTTGTTAGAATCAAAATTGAGACAGCAGTGGTTCTCGATTTGATATCGTTTTTTCCATAGTAAATAGGAAAGTAACAAGTTAATAATAAGAAAGATGTTCCTGTACTGTATGTAATAGAAAGCGTTTCATTATAGTAAGATGGAAGATTTCGAGCATAAAAACTTTGAATAGAACAAATTAGCAAAATAAAACCAATATATATAACTTGAGAGTTTAATTGAGAATCTCCGGTACATTGATATATTATAGCTTTTTTTTCGTAGTTTAAAAAGGAGAAAAGAACTGGCGGTGATTTAACAAGTAAAATGGTTGCTAACAAAATTTGCACGATTAAAATGAAACTCATTATCATAATATCAATTGATGTAGAAAATAACTTTTCTTTCTTAGAAAAACGAATGAGAGTTTTAAAAATATAAATATACTTTCTTGTTTTGATGTAAGTAATTGATGTTGCAGTAATAAGCAGGAAGCTGATTATAAAACTTCGCCAATAACAAAACAACTCATTGTTGGAGATGTATAAAAGTGGAACAAGAAGCGAAGTTAACATATAACATAATATTTGAGTCAATGACAATATAAAGTTTGATGATTTTACAACAGGTGTATTTCTATTCAATATAAATGTTACAGCTATAATTAAACCGATCATGGTAGAAAAAGCAGCTATGAGAGTAATTATGATGCCTTCAATGCACTGAAAAGTTAAATCCACACCAAATGTTAATATGCATGCTGTTCTGTTTTTATTTGAAGTATAACCTAAAGGACATTTTTCACATTTGTGTGTTCCGTAACTTACTTTAAAGAAATTTTCTTGACAGCTGGTGCAAATACGGCTCTGTATTTTTTCCTCATTGGTTGTCACAAGTAAAAGTTTTTGTTCAAAAGCAGGTGGGCATATCGTATTACATTTGGTTAGTTGTTGCTTCTTTGTATCAATAGATTCATAATCAAATTTACTTTTTATTCGGAAAACATATTTTATATATATAAAAATGTTACTATAACGGTTAGGGAAGAGCCAATAAAAGTATAGTTTATTATTTATATTCGTTTCTCGATGAACATTAAAGTAGATCTTTATATAGGATTCTGACTCCGTATTTTGATAGACAAAATTTATCAATTTTATAATGTCATATGAGGATACACTCTCTAAGGAATTCAAAGCTTGAGAATAAAAGTAAAGTTCTGTACCCAGTTTTGATTTTATAAAAAAATACTTGTAAATATTCCAAATAAACTCACCAGATAAAGTATTCCCAATCACTCTACCAAAAGTTACATTGTTTTCTGAGCATATCTGAAAAAACCTTAAAAAACCATCTGCAAAATTAAAAATTACAAAAATGTTTTTAACATACGGACCTAAGTTTTTTGCAATAGCAGTCATATAAGATATATTTGTATAGTGAACAGTATATTCGATAAAACAAAACTCGGTATTGTTTACATATTGTTTCATTGATGATAAAATGTCATACTTTTCTGTTTCATTTACATCTGAAGTAATAATTACAAAAATATATTTTGTTATATTAAAGTTCGCAACAATTTCAATAAAGGAATCTTTATGCGATTTATAATAATATCCTACCGAGTTACTACCGTAAGTCATTTTATAATTATTGCTATTGCAATCGAAAAGCAAAACGTTATTAAAAGGTACAATAATGTTTGACATTATAGATGTTAATTCTTCATTAACATCAGTGAGTAATGCCAGTTGACTGGTAATAAACTTTGATTGAAATGATTGATCAAGAATCAAATGTAACAGTATTTCTATCAACGTTGTATAATTATACGATGTGAATGCCATAAGTTTTTCACTTTCGTAGGTTTCATTTTGAAAAAGATTGCTAACATTTGCAAAGCCAATGAAATCTGTTTCCCTTATATTGTTTTGAAACCATTCAGATTTTGAATCTTTTATTATTATAATTTTTGATTCCTTATCCGAAAATGAAACTGAAATAGGGAGAAAAACAATTTCATAGACGAAACTTATATAAAAATTTAACAACATGATGAACATCTGATGAAACTCTCAACTGTTATTTTTGAAAGATTTAAATGAGTTACTCAAGATTTTTTTCTATTATTATTTATATTGCAACTTTTAATAAATATTTAAACTGAAAAATGACTTTCATAACAGTTTTTATTTTAATTGAATTGTTTATTATAATTGTTTTAATAGCAATAATAATAATAGTAATAATAGAAACAATAATAATAAGAAGAATAAGAATAAGAATAATAATATATACTGTGACAATTGATGAAATCAATTGTACAGCACAATAACAGATGTTGTGCTATAACAGCTATAAATGTTTTTATAGTTGCATTGTTTACTTTTTAATTTATATAATTTTTATTTAGTGTTATTTAATTAATAATTTTTGCAATAATTTGATTTATTAAGTTTATTTTTGAATTGATCAATTGTTGTTAATTCTAAAATATATGGCAGTAAACAATTCCAAGCTTCTATAACTCGACATGAAAAAAAAAAGTTCAATTTAACATTACTCTTAAACAATACCATTACTCTTACGGTATTCCTTTGTTTACTTTTGCTTATGACAACAATAATGTAACCACCATAAATGTAATGATGCTCTTGTAGTGTTACTACTTTCATTAACTGTAATCTTCTTTCCTATGACATTTTTTTATAAAGCTGGTACTGGTTTTATTGCTCTTCTTTCTAACTTTAAAATGTCTTGTTTCAGATAAGGACACCATGCTTGAATTGCAAACTCAAGATGTGGCTTTTTAAAAGTTGTATATAATTTTTTAGTTATTTTTATTGATTTATTTTCTCGTATAGAGTATTCTCGTGGGTCACGCGACTTAAGAAATGTTACCATTATGAGAGGATAAAAAAAGTAGACAAATTATTTGCGGTATTAATACCATTTGTTAGAGGTTTTTTATTAGGTCTTAGAAAATTTGCGGCCGTGGCGCAGTGGTTACAGCGCATGCTTTATAAGCAGGAGATCCAGGTTCGAAATTAGCTCTATACATATTTTCGCGTCACGGTAAGAAAGGAGGCGTGAACTTCCTAGTTAAATGCAGATCCGTGGTGCTCTTTGACAAGACCGTTAAGTCTTCTTGGGGTACCTAAATGTAAAAAAAAAAAAAAAGGTTTTAGTACCAATCTTATATATTATTGCCCAAATTAATCCTTTTAGTAGTAGTTGTAGTGTTAGTGCTCTTTCGAGCGTGTTTGAATTGAAACCCTTGGCTGCCATTTTTTTACTAAAAAAACGTGAACAAACGTGTATACAAATATCTAACGTGCGTAAACCTCTAATTTAGTAATGTTAATACATACTGAAACATTTCTCAAGTTTTACATTTTGATTTTTACTTGAAAATTGCATTGCAAGCTCTCGTTAAATTTGATTTATATTATTTGTTTTGTTAAAAAAATCATTATATAGTTTTAAAAATTTTCTCTTTTCAATGTGCCAGCGTAGCCGTGAATAGCGCGGCGAACATCTGAACAAGTAAACAGTGGTTCGAGTCCTACCACTAGCAACTTTCTTTTTTTTTTTAATTTTTTTTTAAATTAGTTATATTTATTTTATTACAAAATTCTTTTGAAGTTTTATAGAGAATATATACAAACATATGTAACGATATTATACACTTTAACTAATGAAAAGATTTTAAAAAAGCTAAAATTTCGAAAAACAATAATTAGTCCTAATAAGCTTCGGATGGTCTAAAAAAAAACTATCTGAAACTTAAATAGACTGTGCTGCTACTCAAGAAGGTGCTGCTGTGGAGGAAAAAAAAAAAAAGCTCGTAGCTAGAAAAAACTTTCTTTCCACAATTAAAAGTTTTTTTTTGCTACATTAACTTTTTTACTATAAATATATGCTGCAGGAGTTATTCAAAACGCCTAAATGCATATTAAGGCGTTTTGAATGAATATTACATATTTTGAGAAAAACGCAATTGAAAAAAAAATTATTAAGAGAAACTTTTTGTAAAATGATTTTTGGAAACGAATAATTTTTATGAATTTTTGAAAATATGTATTCAATAACGTTTGTAGACATCTAAACTGGCTTATTTTGTAAAAAAGTCAAAGTTTATTTTTTTACCTTAAGACGTCTTGAAAAACGGCAATATCGATGATATGTTGAAATAAGATAATTTGACGCAAAGTTTAAAAGCTCTTAACAAAAGCCACTAAACCAAACAAGTTAAAAGTAATTGCAGTTCAGTGCACATAAAAATTTTAAGTTTAGCGTATTGGTGTTAGCAAAGAAACATTATATAAATTATTTTTTAATAAAAACTATACTTTGTTGTGCTTAACCATCCTTATATAAACAGTATTTATATAAACAAATATGTTATTTGTTTATATATATATTGTTTATGAAATGTAAAAACTTATATAACGTTTTGTTCAGGATTGTATGTAATATGAGTAAACTTTTCTAGTATTTACAAGTTTTTTTTGCTCAAGCTGTTTTGTTTTGATTTTTTGTAGGAATGTTATTGTATTTAAAAAAATTGACAAGATTGAAAAAACACGAAACATATTGTCTCATGCAAATGGAAAATTTGAAACTTCAATTTTAGATTTGCCCCTCTCTCGATAATTTCTGGTTGCTAAAATTTATCATATGCTTCTTAGACCTTTAAAAATGACAGTCAAGGCTTTTTCCTAAATCGTTGCATCGGAATTTTTTTGCGTATGTGACGTCACTTTGTGGCAAAACTTAAAAAATAAACTAGAAATTTATTTTATTTTTTCAGATTTTATTTTAATATTTTTAAAAAACCAGTTCTAATAAAGATAAAAAAGATAAAAACTATTCATTTATTACCAATGTAATAAATACAATCTCTTATCAGTGAAAATGATATATCTGTTCCAGTTTCATATATTTTTATGCATTTGTATGCAACATAATTAAAATTAATCAAAAAATGTAAGATAAATGCAAAAGGAAACTTGACGCATAAAGGTTTTTGCCACAAACCGACATCAATGCGCAAAATCTTTTTGGCTTAACTTTTAGATTAGTGTTTAATATTATTCTTTAGTTTTTAATCATAATCATAAGAATGAACTTTTTATGATGACTATGTTTTAGTGGTCTTAGATCTTCTTAGTTCCATTTGTATAGTGTTACGTAAAAACGTCTGTAAGTGTAAACGTCTTTAGCATATGTTGAGTTTGCAGGGATTATATGGAATAATCGTGTATAAAATGAAAAAACTTAATATATAATAATTCTATGCTATATATAATAATTCTATGATATCTTGTTATTTTTTTGCTATAAATATATATGCAAGATTTAAAAAAATTCCAAATTTATTACGATAAGAGGAAGTCTTAAACCTTGCAAAACAACACTGATGACAGTGCATTTACGACTAAGCTAGGTCAGTAGTAAATGCGCTGTCATCAGTGTTGATATGCTAGCTAGCTATCAATAACATAATATAACAACACTAATAACAGTGCACTTAACCACTGAGCTAGCTCAATGGTTAAGTGCGCTGTCGTCAGTGTTGTTATGATAGCTAGCTATCAATTGAATGTATTTAGCAGAAAAACAAACCTAATTATAAGTCTCTTGCAAACTCTACGAATGCGGAAAAGATGCGCATGTTAATTTTTTTTCTCTTTAAGTTTTTTTTAAGAACAAAATTATTTTACTAAAAAATAATAAAGTAAATATGAAATAGGTATAGAAATAAATGTTGTGGAATAGATGTGTATAGATTTATTAGGTCTGGTAAAGACCCGTATTTTACGGATGCGGAAAGCTAAGATATATAAGAAAAAAGTATAAAAAAGTTGGTTTGGAATAGACTTACAAAGACCCGTATTGTTACAAGTCCAATCTCAACTAGTATTAATATAATATTTAATATCAATGTGGTATAATAATCAAGATTTTTTTTATATTTTAAAACAATATCAAGTTTATCTACTAAATTTAATATAAAGGAATGTCGTACTACAAAACATTAGATGTACCTTCCAAAAACAGATCACAAATCTTAAACAAAGATACTTGCTTAATTCCAAGTAACAAATTCAAAAACAATAAAAAAACTTTCTTGCTGTAGCTTACACTAACTTTATTAAATTATCTACTATTTTCACCAAGTTTTTATACATCTGAAGATATGAAGACCTTTAAATCACGGAAGCGTTTAAATACGAAATAACATGTTTAGTAAATTTTTTTGGTGTTTTATTCTCAAAAGGTAAAAGATAAGCAAATTAATACATGGATTTTTTCAGAATTTTATATTTACAATGTAATTGCAAGGGAGGCCTCGCTGAAGCATCTACACATATCGCTGCAGTTTTATTTTGTATTGATAAAACTGTTGAAATGTGAAATCTAAAACAGTAACTGATTATAATTCTTGATGGTTACCACCAAACCTACCAGTGAAGTTAACAACAAAATGTTTTTTTAATTATAAATCAAAACTAAAGGCAGCTGTTTTAAGAACAATCTTTGCATCATCTCATGAATACTCTACTAAATCTTATAATTCTAAGTACCAGATGGTGTTAAATGTTCTTTTTTTTTAAAATATGCTTAGAAATTAAATTTTTATACAGTTATAGAAAACCTATTGCAAGATATGATTGAAATTACTATCAAGTAAAAACGGACGATATTACTACCAAGTAAAAACTCAATCTCTTGATACTGAATATTAATGCTGCAATTTTTTGTAAAGACAGTAAAAGACTTTGATTTATTGATTTTTTGTGAAGAAATCTTAACATATCAAATCAATCTTTATCTTTAGAAAATTAATTTTGAAACTAGTGAATATGAACACATTGAATAATATTTTATCATTTCAGGATCTAATTTGTTACTGCCACATCAGTTTCAAAGATGGCGATATGATTGTAAGATGTACCAACATATATTGTAAAATTAAAAGTCTCTAAAGTT